TCTATCTCTGGTCTCTCTCTGGTCTCTCTCTGGTCTCTCTCTGGTCTCTCTCTGGTCTCTCTCTGGTCTCTCTCTGGTCTCTCTCTGGTCTCTCTCTGGTCTCTCTCTGGTCTCTCTCTTGTCTCTCTCTCTGGTCTATCTCTGGTCTATCTCTGGTCTATCTCTGGTCTCTCTCTGGTCTCTCTCTGGTCTCTCTCTGGTCTCTCTCTTGTCTCTCTCTCTGGTCTATCTCTGGTCTATCTCTGGTCTATCTCTGGTCTCTCTCTGGTCTCTCTCTGGTCTCTCTCTGGTCTCTCTCTGGTCTCTCTCTGGTCTCTCTCTGGTCTCTCTATCTGGTCTCTCTCTGCTCTCTATCTGCTCTCTCTTGCCATGGATTCCTTTTGAGTTCATGATTCCCCAGCTCCTGCAAGTCCATATTTTTGCTAAAACCGGATTGTTAGCAGCTGAAGCAGGAGTATGTGGGACCCATGGATCTATCATAATAATACCTGGATAATGTATTACTATCTTCTAGCTGTCCCACCCATGGCCACAGGGGGCGCTTGTGGTACTACAAACTAAATTCATTCTACCCGGAAAAATGTCCCATAGAACTCAATGTAAACAAATAGAACTTGACCTCAGCTCCCTTGTCATCCTGAACTCTTTCTCTTCAGCCAAGAAGAAGAAAAATAGCGGGTAGGAAGCTGAATGTGGCCCTTTTCGTTTTGAGCCAGGTTAATAAAGTTGTGCAGTTTTGAAAGATTATTCCCTGCACTATTCATACTGTGAATTATACAGCGATTGTGATATTTCCCACACATATCATAGTATAATTGTAGGCTTATTTATTCATTTATATGTTTATTTGATAGGGACAGAACAAAAAGCATTGGTCACAAATATCCGATGCTACGTTGTTAGCCCAAATAGCTAACAGCTCATTTGCAGACCTGGTCCCGAAGACATAATCTGATATACTCATTTGATAATCACACAATACTTATGTCTTTCTGTTATTTAAACACGCCCCAAATCCCAGTTCCTCTTTGCATTTCTGTGAGTCTGCAGAAAACCATAAAAAAAATCTCTCTTCCTAATTTTGTCTGATCTTGTCCGGTTGCATTTTTGTCTCTGCATTTCCTGCTTCGGCGCGAGGCTGTATTCGATGTGTCTAAACTCGCCGAGGCCGATTAGTTCCAAGGGAGTCGTCTTATGTAATTGTTGTTAGATAAATAGTTATGCTCGTCGGTGCAGGGCGGGGCCTGGATAGATGCTTTGACTGGAGGAAAATCACTTTGGCTGATATCCAAATAACAAGAGTATTTGAAATGGTAAATACAGAGAGGGCTGTGGACGGAAAAGACACGAAACTTGTCAAAAGGTTGATTGTGCCAACTGCTGCTTTGATTATTGTTTGATTCTTTATATTAGGGCTGTGATTATATATGATATGATATGTGACACTGTGTTCTGCAGGTTTGAAATTAAAAAAGATCTATTATAGGTTCTTATTGTAAAATGTACAGTATATACAATCTTTGAAAACATGTGACCTGAGATTTACTACTGCTACTGCTACTATCAATTACATGGCCTGTTTTTCTATTAGTAGTCAAAAAGAAATTTGATATTAACTTGGACTTTGTCTATATAGACTGTCTCCAAACAACCCTAATAATATAGACATTGTAAAAAATATATATATATTTTAGCTAAATATGTTAAATTTAACCCTTGTGCTTTCCTCTGGTCAAATTTCCCACCACAGTGATTAAAAGAACCCTATTTAAATGTTTTTTGTGCTGAATTTGGATGATTTTTTCTAACTTGACCAGCCCTGTGTTATTTAGACCCTAATTAAGGGTCTAAAAGGGTCCCCATGTTCAATCCTGACTCTGGGACCAACAGGAGGCCAGTCCCTGTGCTCCTCAGAGTCCCAGCAGGAGGCCAGTCCCTGTGCTCCTGAGAGTCCCAGCTGGAGGCCAGTCCCTGTGCTCCTCAGAGTCCCAGCAGGAGGCCAGTCCCTGTGCTCCTCAGAGTCCCAGCAGGAGGCCAGTCCCTGTGCTCCTCAGAGTCCCAGCAGGAGGCCAGTCCCTGTGCTCCTGAGAGTCCCAGCTGGAGGCCAGTCCCTGTGCTCCTCAGAGTCTCAGCAGGAGGCCAGTCCCTGTGCTCCTCAGAATCTCAGCAGGAGGCCAGTCCCTGTGCTCCTCAGAGTCCCAGCAGGAGGCCAGTCCCTGTGCTCCTCAGAATCCCAGCAGGAGGCCAGTCCCTGTATAGTATATTATGTCTTGTATTTAGTGTAATTGTTGGCTTCAAAGTTGCGTAACATTTAAACCAGTTACGATCCAATGATTACAGTTTTTGCGACGCGTCTAAACAGATTCAAGTCGTGTTTTTTTCCTAATCCAGGTTTATTTCCAAACTCGCAGACGCTGAATCAAACGGCAGAGATTGCACATTCACCATAACAGATTGTAAAACAGCCGTTCCTGGACTGTGGTTGAAGGTAAACAAACCACACCCAGAGTCCACGCCTCGTACCTGAGTCACACACGGCCCGCGGCAAACCACCCGAGAACCCAACCTCTGCTGCAGCAACGCGTCCCAAACTGGGGGCTGAGGGTGAATGGCTCCTGTTGAATCCTGATTTAATTGTGGTCTCTCTGGTCTCTCTCTCTGGTCTCTCTCTGGTCTCTCTCTCTGGTCTCTCTCTCTGGTCTCTCTCTCTGGTCTCTCTCTGGTCTCTCTCTCTGGTCTCTCTCTCTGGTCTCTCTCTGGTCTCTCTCTGGTCACTCTCTGGTCACTCTCTTGTCACTCTCTGGTCACTCTCTGGTCTCTCTCTGGTCTCTCTCTGGTCACTCTCTGGTCACTCTCTGGTCACTCTCTGGTCACTCTCTGGTCTCTCTCTGGTCTCTCTCTGGTCTCTCTCTGGTCTCTCTCTGTCTCTCTCTCTGGTCTCTCTGTCTCTCTCTCTGGTCTCTCTCTGTCACTGTCTCTGGTCTTTCTCTGTCTCTCTCTCTGCTCTCTCTGGTCTCTCTCTGTCTCTCTCTCTGGTCTCTCTGTCTCTCTCTCTGGCCTCTCTCTGTCTCTTTCTCTCTCTCCCTCTGGTCTCTCTGTCTCTCTCTCTGGTCTGTCTCTGTCTCTCTCTCTGGTCTCTCTCTGTCTCTCTCTCTGGTCTTTCTCTGTCTCTCTCTCTGCTCTCTCTGGTCTCTCTCTGTCTCTCTCTCTGGTCTCTCTGTCTCTCTCTCTGGCCTCTCTCTGTCTCTCTCTCTCTCTCTCTCTGGTCTCTCTCTGTCTCTGTCTCTCTCTCTGGTCTCTCTCTGTCTCTGTCTCTCTCTCTGGTCTCTCTCTGTCTCTGTCTCTCTCTCTGGCCTCTCTGTCTCTCTTTCTGGTCTCTCTCTGGTCTCTCTCTCTGTCTCTCTCTCTGGTCTTTCTCTGGTCTCTCTCGGTCCTTGGAACGTCGGGACAGGGTTCGTCTGGAGTTCTGGCCTTTAGGCAAATAGTAAAACAAATGCTTTCCGTGGTGTCTCCTCTGACCTCTCTCCAAACACTGGAGGATGTGTGCGCTGCAGCCCACACGAGGTGCATGACAGACACAGTACTTGTCCCAGGACAGTGAAGGACCACGACACATCAGGTGAAAACACAGCAGATGTTTTCATAATTATTGTTGGAAACAGACCTTTCAGTTCAATCCCAACAATGCAGGTGTCCAGCGGTAGAAACGCATTCATACAAACACAAACAGATCATTCTAAAAGTTACCAACTTAAGTTACTTTTTGCACAGTCTGCGTTTTTGCGTTTGAGTAAAATACTGAATGCTTCATTAACATACAAAAAAAACCATCTCTGCTCTGGTCTGGATCAGTCTGGATTTACACTGTTTCAGAGATACTTGGGACGTGCTGCTGTTTCCAGATCTTTCACTTTTCTCCATTGTGAGATCAAGAAAGTGTATCTTACCCTTAAAATGAAAAATTCAGAGCAACGCCACAATTTAGACCAGTCTGATGTGTCATTGACCAAAAAGTAAAATGTATTCATTATCTATTTGGATCCTCATGAGCTTCCACAAGTGGTCACTACTATAGTCTTCCTGGGTCCACAAAGGATCAATTCAACATTTAAAACATACAGGATTAAAAGCATTTACAAAATAACACATTTTTTTTTATTCTCACCTACTTCCAACATCACCCTCCTCTCCTTTCCCTCGTATCAAAAAATAAGTTCAATTGTAAGTAATATTTATTTATATACAGTGCCTTTCACAGACCAGAGTCACAAAGCGGTTTACAAATGTTTTTAGTGGTAGGGGAAACCGGAGTACCCGTAAGGAACCTATGCAGACACGGAGAGAACATGCAAACTCCACTCAGAAAGGCCCTTTTCCGACCGGGATTCGAGAACCCAGGGCCTTCTTGAACTCAAATCTAATCAATACTTCTACTCTTTAAATTTTCCTTGAGACTGGTAAATCTAAATCTATTATGTTTTTTAATATATATTTCAACTCTGCAGCTTCACTACAAAGCCATTCAACATGAAATCAAAGACCAACCTATTACATGTCATATCTCTCTCAAATAGCGATGAAGTGAGAGTGAGTTGAGCGTGAGGAGACCGGGCGTGGTGCTGTGACATCACTTCCTGCTTTCTCCTTTCCCTTATCTCCTTCCTGTTATCATATAATATCTTTCTTTTTGGTCAGTGACTCAGCAGTGTGGGCCGCATGTTCTCTGTGAGTCAGATGAGGCATTTTGTTCTTGTCAGAGTGAGAGAGAACAAACTCCAGCAGACGGTGGCCCCCGAGGATCACATACAGGCCTTTTAACTTGGAAGATTGGGGGAGTTGGCCACCTCCGTGAAGATAATAATAATAATAATAATAATACATTTTGTTTCTTAGGCACCTTCCTAGACACTCAAGGTTGCCTGAGGTGAGTCGGTGTTAGAGGTTCAGAGCTGGGGAGGAGAGTGGCTGAAGGCTCTAGTCCCCAGGATGACGAGGGTGGGTTAGGAGGCAACGGGAGCTGAAGGGTGGAGGAGGACGCAGGAGCTGGAAAGAGATGGAGGTGGGACAGTGAGCTGGAGAGAGGAGGAGGAGGAGGAGGAGAGATAAGCTGTAGAGAGGAGGTAGGAGGGAGTAAGCTGTAGAGAGGAGGTAGGAGGGAATAAACTGGAGAGAGGAGGAGGGAGAAAGCTGGAGAGAGGAGGAGGTAGGAGGGAGTAAGCTGTAGAGAGGAGGTTGGAGGGAGTAAGCTGGAGAGAGGAGGAGGTAGGAGGGAGTAAGCTGGAGAGAGGAGGAGGTAGGAGGGAGTAAGCTGTAGAGAGGAGGTTGGAGGGAGTAAGCTGGAGAGAGGAGGAGGTAGGAGGGAGAAAGCTGGAGAGAGGAGGAGGTAGGAGGGAGTAAGCTGTAGAGAGGAGGTTGGAGGGAGTAAGCTGGAGAGAGGAGGAGGTAGGAGGGAGTAAGCTGGAGAGAGGAGGAGGTAGGAGGGAGTAAGCTGGAGAGAGGAGGTTGGAGGGAGTAAGCTGGAGAGAGGAGGAGGTAGGAGGGAGAAAGCTGGAGAGAGGAGGAGGTAGGAGGGAGTAAGCTGTAGAGAGGAGGTTGGAGGGAGTAAGCTGGAGAGAGGAGGAGGTAGGAGGGAGTAAGCTGGAGAGAGGAGGAGGTAGGAGGGAGTAAGCTGGAGAGAGGAGGAGGTAGGAGGGAGTAAGCTGGAGAGAGGAGGAGGTAGGAGGGAGTAAGCTGGAGAGAGGAGGTAGGAGGGAGTAAGCTGTAGAGGGGAGGCAGGGAGGACAGGGAGCTGGAGATGGAAACGGGCAAAGAAAGTTGAATATAGCGCAACCACTTGTGCTTGAACATCAGTAAGACCAAGGAGATGGTCATCGACTTCAGGAGAAAACCACTTTCCCACACGCTGCTGAACATCCAGGGGGAGGACATTGAGCTGGTGGACAGCTTCAAGTACCTGGGTGTTCACATTAACAATAAACTGGACTGGTCCCATAATACAAACGCCCTGCACAAGAAGGGCCAAAGTCGCCTCTTCCTTCTGAGGAGGCTGAGGTCCTTCGGAGTGAGCAGGCCTCTGCTCAGGACTTTTTATGACTCTGTGGTAGCTTCTGCCATTTACTACGCTGCCGTGTGCTGGGCCCCGGGCAGCACAGAGCGGGACAGAAACAGACTGAACAAGCTGGTCAGGAGGGCCAGCTCCACTCTGGGCTGCTCCCTGGACTCTGTGGAGGAGGTGAGGGACAGGAGGCCCCTGGACTCTGTGGAGGAGGTGAGGGACAGGAGGGTGCTAGCCAAAGCCACCTCCATCATGAACAATACCTCCCACCCACTGCACAGGACTGTAGAGGAGCTGAGGAGCTCCTTCAGTGGAAGACTGAGACACCCTCAGTGTAGGAAGGAGCGCTACCGCAGGGCCTTTATCCCCACCGCTGTCAGACTGTACAATAAGTCACTTTAAATGATCACTGTGTGAAAACCTGCACTACTATTGACACTGTTTCCAATTGACACTTGTCACTTTTGTTGTACATAATTATTGTCACTTTATTGTACATATATCCTGCATGTAACATGTTTGCACATTTCCTCCCTTTGCACAATCTGAGTGTTTCTATCCATGCCAAATGTGACATGTAAATTTCTCCTCTGTGAGATAAATAAAGCAATCTTATCTTATCTTATCTTATACTGATTTATACCATATGTTAAAATTCATATTGTGATATATTATTGTATATATATCCAGATATTGCTCACCGCTATGTAGTCATGCAGAAGTGTTATAGCTCCACACACTTACATTTATCCACATTTTAGGAAAGAACCACCCTCTTCAGCTATTGGCTGTTAGACACACAGACAATACACATGATAACATTCATTGAGACAAATGCACGATCTCCTGATGTTATTGAGCAGCTTTATGGACTGAGCTACAAAAGAGTTCTTAAACCTGTTGCTTATGCACAGTGGGGCCCTGTACCTTCTCCCAGAATGCAGCAGTTCGTATTGTGAGAACATGAGTCTGTGATGTTCTGCTCAAAAATAGTCTGAGATGAGATTAGAGCGAACTTACTTAGAAGGAAGGTCTTTTCATCTTTTCTTTTTGGTTTACTAACTGAAAGCTTATACTTCTGTCCCACATTTCCAGTCGATCCAATCATTTTGAGATGGATCAGGATTCAGGACCAGTGTAAAACCTGGACTTTAGATGTAAAAATCAGCATTTCTTTCCATTCAAAGTGCAGGTTTTCAAACAGGCGCAGTCTCTGGTCAGTGGTGTGGTCCAGAAGGCCTTCCACAACGCCGTCTTTATGTGAGCGCCAGTCTGACAGATGGCCACAGTGGATCCATGTCTCTGCCGCACACTCAGTCAACATTTGTGTGTCCTCTCAAAATGTCACGCACACATTTGAGCGGCAAAACACAGAATACTAGCTTTGTTCAGTCCCTGGAAAACTGTTAGTATTAATAATAATACATCAAAGTTATGTAGAGCTTTATGGGACGCTCAAAGACACTTTACTAAACACATTGAAGAACAAAGTGAAGGAAAGGCTAAAACAGGTGGGTTTTGAGAGTGATTTCTTCTTCTTCTGAAGTTTTGTAGTGAGTTGCGTGAGTTGCCTTAGCGTTCAGAAGGCTCGGTCCTCAGGGTTCAGAAGGCTCGGCCCTCGGGGTTCAGAAGGCTCGGCCCTCGGGGTTCAGAAGGCTCGGCCCTCGGGGTTCAGAAGGCTCGGCCCTCGGGGTTCAGAAGGCTCGGTCCGCAGGGTTCAGAAGGCTCGGTCCTCAGCGTTCAGAAGGCTCGGTCCTCAGGGTTCAGACTCGGTCCTCAGGGTTCAGAAGGCTCGGCCCTCGGGGTTCAGAAGGCTCGGTCCGCAGGGTTCAGAAGGCTCGGTCCTCAGGGTTCAGAAGGCTCGGTCCTCAGGGTTCAGATGGCTCGGCCCTCGGGGTTCAGAAGGCTCGGTCCTCAGGGTTCAAAAGTCTCGGTCCTCAGGATTCAGACTCGGTCCTCAGGGTTCAGACTCGGTCCTCAGGATTCAGACTCGGTCCTCAGGGTTCAGAAGGCTCGGTCCTCAGGGTTCAGAAGGCTCGGTCCTCAGGGTTCAGAAGGCTCGGTCCTCAGGGTTCAGAAGGCTCGGTCCTCAGGGTTCAGAAGGCTCGGTCCTCAGGGTTCAGAAGACTCAGTCCTCAGGGTTCAGAAGGCTCGGTCCTCAGGGTTCAGAAGGCTCGGTCCTCAGGGTTCAGACTCGGTCCTCAGGGTTCAGAAGGCTCGGCCCTCAGGGTTCAGAAGGCTCGGCCCTCAGGGTTCAGAAGGCTCGGTCCTCAGGGTTCAGAAGGCTCGGTCCTCAGGGTTCAGACTCGGTCCTCAGGGTTCAGAAGGCTCGGTCCTCAGGGTTCAGAAGGCTCGGTCCTCAGGGTTCAGAAGGCTCTGTCCTCAGGGTTCAGAAGGCTCGGTCCTCAGGGTTCAGAAGGCTCGGTCCTCAGGGTTCAGAAGGCTCGGTCCTCAGGGTTCAGAAGGCTCGGTCCTCAGGGTTCAGAAGGCTCAGTCCTCAGAGTTCGGTGTTAAGTCCTGAGGGGAATGAGATGGTCTGAGTCCGTGGAGCGGTCGGTGGGACAGTGATGATGGAGGAGGTCAGTGAGGTACGAAGAGGCAGGAAATGGAGGGACTTCAAGGTGAGATTGAGGACCTAGTATTGTACGCCGTATGAAACAAGGAGCCTGTGGAGTTGTTTCAGGACGGGGGTGATGTGGTCTCTTGAGTACAATTTGGATTTTTGTCTAGGCATTGTTTTTATCTTTCATAAAGTCTTGCGTCCGAAATTAGAGGTGCAACGGTTCATCACTGATCCGTGATCCGTTCGGTTCAACGTCTTCGGTTCGGTACAGACGTGATCCGCGGTTTGATTTATGAAAAAAAAGTTGTGCGCACGTTGTTCAGTCCACACACAGCGCGGTCATTGCGAGCGGAGGAACGGAGATACTTGAAAACCCTGCGTCATTTAAATCCCCAGTATGAGAGCATTTTGGCTTCACTGTAACTACACTGATAACTAGAAACTTGCAATGGCTGAAGCCATTGCGATTGACTGCGGAACAGATCTAATGTGGAAATCTGCTAAAAAAAATCCTTGAAATCCTTTAAAAGGCCTTGAAACTGTTAAAATACTTGATAGATATTTGAAACTCCTGAAGTCCTTGAAATTGTTGAAACCTTTAAACTCCTGAAATCCTTGAAACTGTTGAAACATTGAAACTCCTGAAATCCTTGAAACTTTTTTTAAACCTGGAAACTGTTGAAAGTGTGGAAACTCCTGAAATCCTTGAACCTCCTGATATCCTTGAAACTGGTTAAATTCTTAAACAGTTGAAATCCTTGAAACTACTGAATGTATTGAAAGTGTCCTTGAAACTGAAAAATCCCCTCACCGCTGAAACAATTTGGTTCCTGTAACTAAGGAAACCTGGTCTGTGGTCATTATCTGGTGGTGGTCCGAGTCTTCGTTTGGGTCTTGGTCTGGTGGTATAATGCAACCTATTAGGTTGCATTATACTGGTTTACATGGAAAAATCCCTATTAGGTTGCATTATACTGGTTTACATGGAAAAATCCCTATTAGGTTGCATTATACTGGTTTACATGGAAAAATCCCTATTAAGTTGCATTATACTGGTTTACATGGAAAAATCTCTATTAAGTTGCATTATACTGGTTTACATGGAAAAATCCCTATTAGGTTGCATTATACTGGTTTACATGTACAAATCCCTATTAAGTTGCTTTATACTGGTTTACATGTAAAAACCCCTATTAGGTTACATTATAGTGGTTTACATGTAAAAATCCTTATTAAGTTGCATTATACTGGTTTACATGTAAAAACCCCTATTAAGTTCCATTATACTGGTTTACATGTAAAAACCCCTATTAAGTTCCATTATACTGGTTTACATGTAAAAACCCTATTAAGTTGCATTATACTGGTTTACATGGAAAAATCCCTATTAAGTTGCATAATACTGGTTTACATGGAAAAATCCCCATTAAGTTGCATTATACTGGTTTACATGAAAAAAACCCTATTAAGTTGCATTATACTGGTTTACAAGGAAAAATCCCTATTAAGTTGCATTATACTGGTTTACATGGAAAAATCCCTATTAAGTTGCATAATACTGGTTTACATGGAAAAATCCCCATTAAGTTGCATTATACTGGTTTACATGTAAAAAACCCTATTAAGTTGCATTATACTGGTTTACATGGAAAAATCCCTATTAAGTTGCATTGTACTGGTTTACATGGAAAAAACCCTATTAAGTTGCATTATACTGGTTTACATGGAAAAAACCCTATTAAGTTGCATTATACTGGTTTACATGGAAAAAACCCTATTAAGTTGCATTATACTGGTTTACATGTAAAAACCCCTATTAAGTTGCATTATACTGGTTTACATGGAAAAATCCCCATTAAGTTGCATTATACTGGTTTACATGAAAAAAAACCCTATTAAGTTGCATTATACTGGTTTACATGAAAAAACCCTATTAAGTTGCATTATACTGGTTTACATGGAAAAATCCCTATTAAGTTGCATAATACTGGTTTACATGGAAAAATCCCCATTAAGTTGCATTATACTGGTTTACATGTAAAAAACCCTATTAAGTTGCATTATACTGGTTTACATGGAAAAATCCCTATTAAGTTGCATTGTACTGGTTTACATGGAAAAAACCCTATTAAGTTGCATTATACTGGTTTACATGGAAAAAACCCTATTAAGTTGCATTATACTGGTTTACATGGAAAAAACCCTATTAAGTTGCATTATACTGGTTTACATGTAAAAACCCCTATTAAGTTGCATTATACTGGTTTACATGGAAAAATCCCCATTAAGTTGCATTATACTGGTTTACATGAAAAAAAACCCTATTAAGTTGCATTATACTGGTTTACATGAAAAAACCCTATTAAGTTGCATTATACTGGTTTACATGGAAAAATCCCTATTAAGTTGCATTATACTGGTTTACATGGAAAAATCCCTATTAGGTTGCATGATTACACTGAAGTCCTTGAAACTGCTGAAGTCCTTGAAACTGCTGAAGTCCTTGAAACTGCTGAAGTCCTTGAAACTGCTGAAGTCCTTGAAACTGCTGAAGTCCTTGAAACTGCTGAAGTCCTTGAAACTGCTGAAGTCCTTGAAACTGTTGAAGTCCTTGAAACTCTTGAAATCTTGAAACTGCTGAAATCCTTGAAACTGTTGAATCCTTGAAACTGTTGAATCATTGAAACTGTAGAAATGTCTGAAAGAGCTGAAGTCCTATTAAAATGCATGGGCCTATTAAAATGCATTGCAGAATTCTCAATGCAGATTTTTGTCCGATTGCGGAAAAACCGGAAATCGCTGAAGTCCCAAAAGTAATAGCAATAATCTCCCAAACATGTGGAACGTTTTGATGTATAACTTGTGGAAATTGTTGAAAATGTGAAAGCTGTGAAACGTGTCAAAAAAAATGACGGAATAAAGAAATACAAAACCAATGGTTGACTGCGGAAGGTTCCGCAGTCAATCAATTAATATTCGACAAAACGATGTGTAAGCACTGTGGCACAAGAAAGACATGAGTGAAAAAAAGCGTCTCAACGACCGCTTATTGTCGCGGCATTTAAGCAGCTCCTTTTCGCACAGTCAGACCGGGCTAAAGTCAACTCTCCCGCGCATCCTCAGCTGCGCTCACGACTGACGCTTGGACGTCCCGCGGAACCTATAATAGATCCATGAGCGGAACCGCAGACTGGGAGATGAAAAGTCTGGCGCTGAAGACACGCCCCCTCTACGACAGTCACACAGTCACACAGCGCAGGTATTGACACAAGCAGCGGAGGAATGGAACTGTACTAATATCCCAGTCACAACTGATAATGCCAAAAATTAAATAAATGCAGTGAATGAGGCTGGGCCCAGAATGGAGCGCCTCCTTGGGAGAATCAGGAAGGTGGTTTAATATATGAGGGTAAATATCCTCATAAAGTGCCTTCTTATGTTGCACTTTGTGTTGTTTTTCATTAATTATGTTAAATAGACATAATTGGATGGATGGAATATGCCATCCATCCATCCATCCATTTCCTTCCCCTTAATTCATTTCTAGGCCAGGGGGGGGGCAGTCAGAGCAGAAGCCGAGTCCACATGAGCTGTGTTTATTAAAAAGACAAAACTTTTTTTTTGAAAAATGAACCGAAAAATGAACCGAACCGTGGCCTCTGAACCGAGGTACGAACCGAACCGTGATTTTTTCAAACCGTTGCACCCCTATCCGAAATAAACCAGCCAAAGAGACCATGGGGACTCTTTCACTTCATATACTTGTTTGTAGACTTCTGTGCCGCAACACGCATGCAAATTCACCACTGACTTTGCATTTAAACCTGCCGTACCGCTTGGTCTTCCCTTTACCTCAATATTCTTCATATACGGCTGTATCATGACGCCTGAGATTCTTATGGAGAGGTGCATGGCCTCATTGTGTTACTGGCAAAGTTGGAAGCTTGATCATCAGAGGTTGTGGGACCCCTGACCGTGTAACAGTGGAATTATATTATGTTTTGTTGATGAACTGGAAAGAGTCTTGCTGTGTGGCTGACATGTAGTATACATTTACAAAAAATCTGAAAATATACCTCAACCGGTTAAAAAATTGGTTCTAACCCTCATCTTTGAACCTTCTGCTGGTCATGGAGCAGAGCGGTGATGGTTTATGTCTGTTATTTCTATTTTTCTTTTTTAGAAAGAACATTTAGAAAACAGGAAGTGATTGATAAATAAAAGAAAATGGAAAGAGGGACAGAAAAAGGTAATCAAAAACGGCAATTTTTTATTATTAAATTGGGTCTTTTTGCATTGGTGTATGTTAAGAATCAAACCAACCGTGTGTGCCGTTCACTTAAGCAGTCAGCTCTTCCATCTTATAAATGTCCAACGATATTTACCGCAATGGCGTCAAAGTTGCTATGTCCCAGTGTAGGGTCCAAACAGTGAAGCCGTGTAGTTGACGCTCTCAACATAATCCATTGTGTGTAAAGTGAGTGAGTAAATCCATGGAACAGTAAAAAGCAATAAAAATACTCTTTACTGAGTATTCACAAACAAAAACACACATACTGGACTAAAAGAAAAGGACTTAAAGAAAAAAAGATTCAGATTAATTTATTTACCATTTGCCGTAAAACCACATTGGAATACAGTAGCAAAAGTCTCCAGTGTGCACAAGACAAATACAGACATAAAACAACATTAAAACAGTAAACAAATCGATCAACCAAAACAATATCAAAACAAGTGCAAGATCATTTTAAAGTGCTCTGTTCACACTGATAACAGCCTGTGGAAAAAAACTGTTAGCGTAACGAGATGTCCTGTAGCTCAGCGAACGATATCTTCTGCCAGAGGGAAGAAGCTGGAACATGGCTTTCCCAGGGTGGCCAGAAGAGTCGTTGATAATTCTCAGAGCTCTGTTTAAAAGTCTGGATTTATAAAGAACCTCCAGAACAGGAAGCTCACAGCCCACGGTCCTCTCTCTGGTCTCTCTCTGGTCTCTCTCTGGTCTCTCTCTGGTCTCTCTCTGGTCTCACAGCCCACGGTCCTCTTTGCAGAGTGGAGCACCTTGTTTAAAGCTCTCTTTTCTTTATCTGTGATGTTTCCAAACCACACAGAGAGAGTAAGAAAGAGTAGGGAGATCAAACCACACTCCACGCTTTCCCTGGAACACCTGCTCCTTAACTAGCCTGGGGCCAGGACTGAGAAAAAATACAAAATATATATTAAATCAAAATGAATCCATGATTAACTTTAGCAATAATGACTAACAAAATATTTAACTAAATTAGATGCAAAATATCCAAATGAAATCAATTGCCAAATAATAATTCAAATTTAATCACAAAAATAACATATTTAAATCAAATAATAATACAAACAAAATAGAAATGTATCAAAATAAAATCAAAACAACTGAACCTCTATTTTGGCTCCAACACCCGGGATAACTTTTTCTTTGTTATGGCTTTAGCGAGGCACTAAGCAGACACTAGGGCGGCATGGTGCCTGAGTGGAGTTTGCATGTTCTCCCCGTGTCTGCGTAGGTTTCCTCCGGGTACTCCGATTTCCCCTACCACTAAAAATATGTACAATAGGTCTGGCATGTGCCTCCTGTACTGGGACCCCCACTCCAAAAAAAATAAAAATTATAAACCGCTTTGAGACTCCGTTGTGCAGTGAAAAGGCGGTATATAAATAAAGATTACTTACTTACACTTATCCTCTTTTCTCCAGTTCATTAGTGTACAACCAAAAAACTGTTTTCATCTCAAAGGCCAATGTACAGTTAAAGATATCTTGCAGTGATCGCTGAACGTCTGTCCAGTATTGCATTTGCACTCGGCCTTTTGACACGGAGTGATTAAATATCGAATTATGACTTTCAACCCAATCTCTCTCCATCTCGTTGATACCATACATTTCCATTGTGATTTTCATATCAAACATTCATCCTCAGATACATGTTTTCCCCCTTCTTTTTCCCATATGGCCTTGACGTCGTTGAATCGGGCTTATTCTGTGTCACCATTGTATATAGACATGAGATCACTTTCTTTTTGCCTTATGTGTATTTTCAATGTAGCAGCCTGTGAGTCCACGACAAATTTCATACTGGACATAATAAATGAATCTTGAGTGTTTTGTTTGGTCATTTTGATGCCACAGCGTTTAGCCTGGATGCTTCTGGGACCATGCTTCTTTTCGGGTATTTGATTCAAGTTTATTGTGATTGTGATTGTAATGTAATTTTTTTTTCTTTCTATCTTTCCTCTAAGGAGCGACAAAGGAGATTGGATCCGCACTGACCCGGATGTGTATGAGGCACCGCAGCATCGAGTCCAAACTCAAACTGTTTACAACGTGAATTACTTTTCCATTCTCTTCTTCTTTTTATCAGCGCCACTTGCCATAACAAACAGCCATCATTTAACATTGGGTTGCTCTCAATAAAAACTATTTGAACTGTTAATTTCTCTTGTATGAGATCAATAAAGTCTAATCTTTAGGAGCTGTTCTCAGAAACCTGGACAGTCAATTCTCTTGATTGTCCGTGTCGTAGATCTAGATTTGTCCTCTGCGTTTGACCCATCCTGCTTCTCCCACTGAGGCCTCTGTCTGGAGCATTGGGTCACAGTCTGGGAACCCCTCACGTGTGATTTGCTGTGTGGATAGCACTCCCACTTTTCCGACTGGGTTCGAATCCCAGTCAGTCCATGGCCTCTCTGTTCTCTCCTTTTTCCTCCACCACTAAAAACATGTACAATGGTTAAATCCTCCAGCTCGGATCCAGACCAAGCCGAGCATCAACATCTGGAGATTGCTTCCCGGATGCTGTTACTACGGCAACCACCGCTCCCTAGCGAGATTCCAGGATGGGTCAAATGCTGAAGTGCATATTTACAGTTATGGTTGGGTTGGGTGAGATCTGTGGCTTACTTAAAGAACAGAAAAACAGGGTAGCACTGCACACTCAGCTCTGATGTCCAAAACGTGTTATTCATCCATGACGTTTAGCCGTTATACCTTCATCAGATCATGTTTTTCTTTGTCTTTTCACCACAAAATACAACATTCTGGACATGAGAGCTGATTGTGCAATGACATCGTGATTCTTGCATTTGCACCTCATTCATTATTTTTTGTGCGTGCGATACCTGCTCTTTCTTACATAGAGAACAAGGCCTTCATTACCCGACAGGCCTGATGTAGTTGTTTTTATCTCCTGCGTGTTACCCAGTGTTGCCCCAATCTCCTCCTAACGTCATGTGTCTGTGTCAGGGCCCTGTCTGAAGGCCTGATCTCTCCATTGGAGCAGAAGATGGAAGAGTGGAAGAAAGTGGCCAGTCAGCTGGACAAGGACCACGCCAAAGGTACCATGTGGTTATCCTGCTGAGCCTTTGTGTCTGCGAAACCATTTATCAACATTCATGGACATTGGTCAACTCCCTACGGATCAATACCATGTGTTCTATATCTTTGTGTTTGAATTGTTTGATTCTCTGAGGGATAAGGGGGTAATGTATAGTAGGCAGGTCATTATCGGAAAATAAGATTGTTTCAGAATCTTGTTGTTCTCGTGACGTCCCAAATAGTAATGTCCAAAACACAGTACGTGCCAAAAGTACATTGTTGTTTTGGTTTTATCTCCTCATACAGAGTATAAAAAGGCAAGAGCGGACATCAAGAAGAAGTCGTCTGACACCATCAAACTGCAGAAGAAAGTGAAAAAAGGTAAGAATCATTTATATACAGTAATCTTTCCAATTTCATTTCACTGTTGTCTGAGATCTATTTGTGCCCAAACCTCAGTAATCGATGCACATGATGTAGCAGTGTGAAAAGAATACACCTTAAAATAACATCCCTGGGGAACTTCATTTAGAGACGGAGCACCATTGGGGGTACATAAAGATACAGAAACACAAGATATGAATATAAATACAATAAAAGTAAAACAATTCTCGTTTTGTTCAATTTTTACCACTATCACTACTATGTGTAAAAAAAAAACATGAAAAAGTAAACACAGCGATCTATTGGTGGAAGTGGGATTTTCAAGGCATTTTAAACATGTTTGATAATGTTAAATTGATTTTTGGTCAAATTTAACCAGTTGCAATGTAGTATTTACTATTTATGAAAGAGAAAAGTTCGGCTTCAAACACTTAACTCTTGTATTATGTTGAAAAAAAATGACATTGATTATGTTGCGGGTCATTTTGACCCGTACTGTGTAAATGCACTCAAAACAGTCAAGAAAACAGGTTAAACCAATAACAACTTTATTTTAGGTTATATAAATATTTAGAAAAGTGACATACAATACATTTTTAATTCCAACGCTATATTTAAGAAATATTTAGTCTAATCTTCTTGTCCTCCTCTCGGGTCAAAATGACAATTCTTCCTTCCTTCTTTCCTCCTGTCATGCTTTCTCCTTCCTTTTTCTCATCCTGTTTTCCTTCTCTCCGTTCATCCTCCTCTATTCCCTTCTTTTCTCTTCCTTCCTTCCTTCCTTCCTTCCCTTCTCCCTTCTCCCTTCTTTCCTTCCTACCTTCCTTCCTTCCTCCCTTCCTCTTACCTTGACCAAAGATTTGTACTCTGAATCCTCCTTATCGTAGGAAAATTGACAATCTGGATCAGCAATAACACCGTCCTCTGTCAAATCCTCTGTTTCTCTTCCTCTACATCATTATCCCAGTTCAGATGTCATCCTTCTGGAGCTCATTTTTGTTTGTCTAAAGCCTAGCGCACATCGACAGAGTAACTGGAGACTAGTTGCAAACTAGTTGCAAGGCGGCTTTTGGCAACTGAGAGTAGATGATCAGTTGCCGAAATCGGTCGATGTGAGCGCTCTTACAACTGGAGATAAACAGTCGATCTCCGGATTCAGTCAAATGCCCGTGTTCTACTTTTCGGCAACTAGTTGTCCTCAGATCCGGAGATATCACCCGATGTGCGCGCTCCGTGGCGCACTCCGTGGCGCGCTCCGTGGCGCGCTCCGTGGCGCACTCCGTGGCGCGCTCTAACAACATGTGTGTATTGCGCGGCCTCTACAGTTTAGGTCAGAAAACACACTGTAGTTGACGGCCGGTTGCTGTCGATGTACGCGCTGTTATTCCCAAGACTGGTCTGCTACTAGGAGTTGCCCGTCTTTGCCAGATTGTCAATGTGTGCGGGGAAGCAACTCAAAGGCGACGGATATAATCAGTTGCCAGTCCAATGTATGCTAAGCAAAAGAGATGACATAAGAACAGTGACAAGGACAAGTGTGAGAAAGTTCCCTCTCTTCACACACCTGGCTCTGGGTCTCAGAGGCAATCAAAATACAAGGTCAAAGAGACATGTTTTTTTGGATCTGAACAACTATTTACCCACATTTAAGCGTCTGGGTCAAAATGACCCGCAACATCATCTTTGTATACAAACTCTGCACAGACATTCCACTACACATCAAAGTGTCCGGATTTTACACACCAGTTCATGACCCTAGATGAGGAAAAGTCACCAAATTTCAGCAAGAAAAAGAAAGGATAACCAGTACTTTGATCAACACAAAAACTGAAATGGGTCAAATTGACCCTTAACATAATACAAGGGTTAAAGAAGATCGTTTTGATTAACACTAGAACTCCCATTGCAGTCAATTTGACGGGGGGTTAGTTTTGAGAGTATAATTACTCAACATGTGTTCATTTTTTACAGAAAAAGTCACAAACTTCCCCCATAGAATTCTGTGAAATTACCCAAAAAAGTTCAACAGGGTTTTACCTTCACTCACGTTTAATAAGTGCACAAAACTGGTGACTATAACTCAAATACAGCTGAAATACATGGTCTTGCGTTTTTGTGTGTTGCTATGGAAACCTCCAGTGGTTCCCAGCAGACACGTGACCGCACCCCCACCTCTCAGGTATCAGAAGGACACACCTGTGGTCACCGTGGTTACGTGACAACTCTTCACTCTTTAGTCTGGACCAGTGCCGTTTGGCCACGGGTCACCAAACAGAAACACAATGAAGCATTTCAGCTCCCGTCATTTCTGGACTCTGAACTGCTACTTTTTCCTACTTCTTATGGTTGCGGCTTATATATCATGCAGGTATCGTGGCCATACCTGCAGGTGAAAAACAGATCCCGTCAGACCTCTGCCTGGTTAGTACTGCGATGGGAGACACAAAGTTCCACAGTGCACATTGCAGTTGTTAAGTGCCAAACTGTGGTTGTGTTTTAAATTGTTTTAATCTCTCTGTGAAGCACTTTGGTCCTCCTGGTGTTGTTGTAAAGTGCTATACAAATAAACTTTGATTGATTGAGGCAAGACACTTCACTTGAGTGTGTGTGTGTGGGTGTGTGGTGATGGGAGGGTCCAATGGCACATACTGAATGCCTCGGTGTGCCCCAGGGCAGCTGTGGCTACGAAAGAATAATGACATGTGAAGCATCTTTGATTGTCCAGAAAAGCGCTGTATAAAACTGGTTCACAGACATTACTAAATTGCGATGTGTGTATTTTTATTGTGATAGAGTTGACAGAGCAGAGTTTGTTGGCTTATTATTTTGACTCCATCTGGTTTTAATAGTTTAGACACTTGTTTATTGTCAAACTAGATGAAGGTGAATGAGTTCAAGAAGCTAACTCAATGTTAAAAACACCTCGTCATCAAAACGACATGAAAAACCTGCTGCTTATATTCAGGTGTGGCCTATTTGTGGACAACATTGGTTTTTCTTTTAAAATGTAAGCTTATATACAGGTGCGCTTTGTAGTCTAGAAAGTACAGTATATATGTTTTATTAATCCAGGTTAAAACTGTTCTGTTTAGCTTTGCGTACAACTGAAGGATCGTATCTTTACTCTTTTTAATGTACTGTGATTATTTAGGATTTGAACGCCTTGTTTTGTTTTGCACTTTGAGAAACTGCTATAATGTACTTACCTTACCTTGTGTCGTATGAGTGAGAAATTGCTTTACATTTGAGATATATTTAGCGCATTTTCCAGCTTCATAACACTGGGTAACAAAAAAATATTTTTTAAAATAGTCCAGGGTTTTCAGCTGAATTAGACTAATGTTGATGCTCTGAGTCTGAAAATGACCTTGGTTTTGCTCAATCAGGTCAGGATTTTTTTAATCAATTTTGCGTAAAAAAACAAATTTCTGCGGATCATCAGCTGAGAAACCCTTGACGTTTTTTCCGTTTTAATGAAATAAAAGTCAACGTATCCAAAGTCATTCAGTTTTTATTTACTATGGCTGTATCTCAAACTGTTAGCCTGATAGAGCAAAATGTATGTGATATTCGGACTCAGATTAGTCTAAATCAGTTGAGAAACCCCTGACCATTTTTTGGCTGTCAACTTGTGTAATCATAGTTTTATAAGTCACATGGCCAGTCCTTTGTAGATTTATATCACGTTTGTTGTTTTTTTCATGCTGCTCTAACTTATAAGGCCGTTTATTTACTTAAAAATTGTCAAGCTCAGTTTTTCTTCCATATCGCCCAGCCCTACAATGACAGCCTTATCCACACTGCAGGACTGGAGGTGGCCGACTAAAACCTGCACTTTCTTGTTCTGAACCACAGAACCCAGATGAAACGAGGACAATACCTTGGACCCTCAGACTAAACACAAAGAATACATCTTTTGTTACACTTTCAATTCAGTCTGCTGCGTCTTTCCCAGCTCTAAGATTGTCCGAAACCAAATATACAGCCGTGTGTGCGACTATAAATTATCCGTGATTACAGAAATAGCCGTGAGTTCGGGGGCCGCCTGTAGTAAACAGCAGTGTGTGATGTGGCTGGGACATCTCTGAACATGTTTTCGGCTGCTGCCTCTAAACTCCTGCAGATGTGGCCTAAGAATGCCAGCCTCTGATTGGGCAGGGCAAGTCACATGACCAGTCCTTTTGTAGTAAGGTTATAGGCAAGAACACTGCCATAGAGATGACGTCTGAAGTGAAATAATTGAATCTACTGCCGGTTATAGTTTGGTTTAGTTCCTACCCCTGAAGCAAATAAACATGAAGTGTATATGGAGTACTATTGATAATAATAATAACAATAATACATCCAACTTAGTGACACTCAGACTCTGTACAAAACATACATAAATAAACAATAAACAAAATTAAGGAAAGGCAAAGTGAAACCGGTGGGTGATTAAAAGTTCTTTAGTAAGTGGGAGTTTCTGATGGTTGTGGCAGTGAGTTCTGGAGAGTGGGGGCAGCTGCGGCAAAGACCGGGTCCCACAAGGTTCAGAAGGCTCGGTCCTCAGGGTTCAGAAGGCTCGGTCCTCAGGGTTCAGAAGGCTCGGTCCTCAGGGTTCAGAAGGTTCGGTCCTCAGGGTTCAGAAGGCTCGGTCCTCAGGGTTCAGAAGGCTCGGTCCTCAGGGTTCAGAAGGCTCGGTCCTCAGGGTTCAGAGGGCTCGGTCCTCAGGGTTCAGAAGGCTCGGTCCTCAGGGTTCAGAAGGCTCGGTCCTCAGGGTTCAGAAGGTTCGGTCCTCAGGGGGTGATGTGGTCTCGGGATTCCTACCTCGGCCCATCAGTGAAATCAATGATGGGCAGAGATGGGAACGTTTCGGTACAGAATCTTGATGCTTTTCTTGCAGTAATTTGCGGACCTGTGTCTTACCATGATTTTTAAGTTCTTTGTCTCATTCCCAAACTATTGAGTCAGAAACAACAACAAAAAAATAATAATTTGAAGCATTAGAACATCTCATA